CCTGTTCGAGTCTAATGCAGTGTTTGTACCAGTTCTTAGTAGTCATCATCCATGCAAATCCGCTTTGGATCCAAATTTTTTACGTGGTCTCTAATTCCTTCCTGGGTTTTTTTGTGTTGAAGATTTTGAAACCGAGGCCCGACGCAGCAAGGCCTCAGGACTTGGATGTGTTCTTTACGTCTGTGTCTGCAGCGACGGTTTCCAGCATGTCAACCGTTGAAATGGAGGTCTTTTCCAATGCTCAGCTTGTAGTTCTAACTGTTTTAATGTTACTAGGTGGAGAGGTTTTTTTTTCCATGCTTGGACTTCAAATAGCGAGGTCCAAGTTCATGAAACAGGAGAAGATTGAAAACAAAATCGACCCATTAGCCAGTTCAGACTACCTTAGTTATTCTTCAACTGATCCCACTAATGTTGATAATCAAATCGAATTAGGGCTAGTCAAAGTACCCCATTTCGAAAGAGAGAAACCCAGCACTATAGATGAGGACCTCAAGTATAATTCAGTTAGGTACCCGAGTTATGTAGTCTCGGGTTATCTTCTAGTGATTCATGTATGTGGGTATGCCCTAGTTTCTTTGTATCTGAGCCTTGTTCCAAGTGCAGGAGATGTACTCGAGAACAAGAGCATCCAGATGCAGACATTTGCTGTGTTCACAATTGTCTCTACTTTCGCAAATTGTGGTTTTTGTACCCACAAATGAGAACATGATAGTATTCAGGAAGAATTCAGGACTTCTGCTACTACTCATCCCTCAGGTCCTTCTTGGGAACACTCTATTCCCATCGTGCTTGAGATTTGTGATATGGGTGTTGGGGACGTTTACAAAGAGAGTGGAATTCAATTATATTCTCAAGAATACGAGAGAGATTGGATACACCCACTTGCTCCCCAGTTTGCACTCTTCCCTTTTGGTCGTCACTGTTTTCGGGTTCATACTGATACAGTTGCTACTCTTTTGCTCCATGGAGTGGAACTCAGAAGGATTGAATGGGATGAATCCTTACCAGAAGCTAGTAGGCTCCTTGTTCCAAACAGTGAATTCGCGGCACGCTGGTGAATCAATCTTTGATCTCTCCGTTGTCTCTCCAGCAATCCTGATTCTATTCGTCGTAATGATGTATGTAGCTCTTTCTCTCTCTCTCTCTCGCGAAAAAGACTGATGCATCCTTGTAATGTTTCCTTCACCTTTTGTTGTTTTTTCCTTTTTGTTACGCATGGTATATTTATGTTGTATACCTACTATACACATAAATATTATAAAAGGTAAAATTCCAGATTAGTACGCTATATTTTGGGCCTGGTGCCACTTTGCTCCCATAACTTTAAAATGCAATAATTAGTACTCAAACTTTTAAAACATGACAATCCAGTACCTACCATTAATTAATTATTAATCAATCATTAAGTGGCATTTGAAAAAGATAAAAATGCCCTTCAAGTGTTATTTAATCTTTTTTATCAACAATCTAAATGTTGATAAAAATTAATAGTCCCAAATCTTTATCTTTTCCATTCAATAAAGTTTGAGGGACATTCTAGTCACCCCAATTTTATTGAATAGAAGAGGCAAGGATTTGAGACTATTAGTATTTTGTCAATGTTTAGATGGTTGATAAAAAAAATTAGATGACATTCGAAGGGAATTTGTGTCTTTTTCAAATGTCACTTAATAGATAGTTACAATTAGTTAATAGCAAGTACTGGATTATCATGGTTTTAAAGTTTGGATATTGAATTGTCGCATTTTAAAGTTTGAAGAACAAAGTGACACTAGACCCAAAGTACAAGGTGTTAATCGAAAATTTTCCCTACTATAAATTATAAATAGCTATATACATGCATCTATGCATCATGGATATCAAAGGATCGGAAGGTTTTTCAGTTGAAACATCATTATGCATTGCATTGGTCCCAATGGAACTTCCAACTTGAAGATTTGTAGAATCAAATTATTGCTGTGCTCATCAAATAAATTCATTTCCAGAACCTGACATCTCTCACACACACACAGATAAGTGGAACTTGGGGAACTAAATCAGCTACTTTCAGTAAAACTGAATTCAGGTCTCAGTCTCACTCGGTCTATATATATGGGTATCAAGCATCTCAATATTCAAAACATCTTACTTTCTTTCATTCTTATTCTCTCAACAACAATATAAACAATTAAATTAATGGTTGGTAATTAAGGAAAGAAAAGAACTGAAAACGTCAGCTTGAAAATAACAGATATAACCTAGGAAAAATAATTTCCTATATGTGGCATCTATCTGAAGCTAGGTTTATTAATCTGTCCTACTTTCTAAAGCATCTGTACACTTTTTTTTTTTTCATTTTCTATCTACCATTTCCGTTCATATTAGATTTTCGAACTGGAATCAAACAATTATAGTTTACTTTCACCATTGGCTTGTCATCAAAATGATTTCTAGATCAATATGAATGATTGGGATTTTATTTGATTCCTTCAATCTATTATTTCCATAATTTTGATTAACAACAATGGTTGATATATTTATTCTTCTTAATCAAATACGAATTTGGTTAAAAATCTGTTAGCTTTGTCTGACAGGTATCTCCCTCCCTACACTTCCTTTCTACCCATTAAAGATGATGAAGACCAACCTCCAAGAAGCTCCGAAAAGAAAACCAAAAGTAGGTGGAGAAGGCTAATGGAGAATCTCATATTCTCACAGCTCTCTTATTTGGTCATATTCGTCATTCTCATTTGCATCTCAGAGAGGAAAAAGATGAAAGAAGATCCCCTTAACTTCACAGTGTATTTTCTCTTTACTCCATATAACTATTTTTTTTAATTCTAAACGTTATTCTCAGTGGAGGGATGGCCACCATAAAATTTTATTAAAGAAATTATTGGCAAAAAGATCTAAGAAGGGAGGACATAAAAACTCTACCCCTTGAATAAGTATAATGTATAATCACCCGAGAAATCAAGTAATAAGTAAGAAAGGTATACCAGATCCATCAGCTTCAAATTTCTTTTTAACCTCACCTTGAAGTTCATCTGTACAGCCAAGTTTTGAAAGAGAATCAGCAACTTGATTACCTTCCTGGAAAATACGCAAGAACGGCAGCTTCAACTTGTCACAAACCTGTCTGAACGCAACCATCCAACACAATAACACCCATAAAAAGTAGACAAAGTCCATGAAAAATAAGAGAAACAGGACCGATCGATTTTAGTGCCAATCCCACCAAAGAGATAAGATATAACCTCTACCACTAACTTCCTTTATAGAATCAAATTCCTAGTCCAGGAGTGGAGTTGGCCTTTACTTTCTTTTGTTGTATTTGTGGGACCGCCTCAGTATTCATAGATTTGACCCTTAACAGCTTTGTAGTCATCCTCACCACTACCCATCGACATATTACATCAACTATATATCAAATTGAGACGTACGAAAATTTGTTTGACATATTCGCCAAAAATTGTCTTCCAACTCTTGGGGAAACAACATGTGACTTGTATACTGATAAAGTCAATTTGGGTATTATTCCTCTTCCAACAATAAAGACAACATGTGAAGGCTACTCTCAATCCAGAGAAAATAAATCCCCCGCTTAAGGGACAGCTTTGGGTGAACCTCATACATTCAGGTCTCTGATTGGGCTTGGACTGCCCAAGAACTCAACCCAAGCCCGATAGGCTTAGGTCTGACTAAGACCCAGCAAAGAGTCCTAAGACGCAAGTCAAACTCATGCAGCCGTATAATAAAAGCCGAAGCTTGCATGATAGAACTGTATGCATACTTTCAACCCAGCCTTGGGCATACTTGCAGCCCCTTTGGGAAGGCTTTAAAACAGCAGCTTCTGGAGTGGAAATGTAATCCCCACAAGAAGCTTAGAAGCTATGTTTGATGAAAAACCGGGAAAACCCAAATAATTCATCGAGCCAAGAAAATGACTTTCCAGTGAAACTATTTTTAGTAGCTTCTTCAAAGTGGCTTAATAAAGCAACTCGATCAAAACTGAAACCCTCCCAAGGGGCCCTTGGTAGAAACCTAGAAGCCAGGACTATAACATTAATAAACGCCCAAAAAGGAGTGCTTTTGGAAATTATAAGTTTGCAACGGCATTACCAATGCATAGAAATGGCAAGGACATAATCTTATTCCCATGAATGTAAAGCATGGTTTTAACACAAATTGTAAATGACTGGCAATGCATATTGGCAATGTGGGTTTCACAACCGGGTACAGTTGCAAACGGAAACTAAATCCAGATGGCCAATGCAAGGATACATGGTATGGATTCTCTGGAAGATGGAGCAACACGGGCAAGCTGATCCTCATTGTCGTCATGTTTTTTGGAAGACTTAAGAAGTTCAATATGGCAGGTGGCAGAGCTTGGAGACTCCAGTGAGATAGATAGATAGATAGATAGATAATAGCATGTATACAAACTCCAAATAATTGGAGAAAATTTAGGATATCTGCATGGATTGAACGTTTTGGGTGCAATATCTAAGTAGTAAAAAAGTAGACACTAGAAGCTGTGTAAATGTTTGTTATGGTGCTCCCAAGGTCATATTATGCAGAGACTTTTACATAAGCAAAACTATATTCCTGCATAGTCAAAGGTATGTATATTCTGCCCGCATTATAATTAATTAAATTTCAACACAAGATATGGGTGAGCCTGTATTTGTCCATACTTAAAGCCTAATTAATAAACTTTTGTGTGAGGCATATTAATTAGAAAATAAATTAAAAACCTATTTAGTGACCTCACATAATAGCTTAAACTTTTAGGTTGAATGGTTCCTTGAGAATAGCATGTATACAAACTCCAACATGGGAGATGTAAACTTTTCAAAGTATAGAGTGCAATGTCTGTGTACAAAAACCAGTAGCTACACTAGAAGCTGTAAATTTTATGATACTCCTAATGTCATGTTCCACAAAATTTTGCACGAGCATAAAATATATTTTGGGAAAGATAACTTATATGACCACAAGTCATTATATTACCAGTATAGTGTTGACCGGTAAAAATGGAAATCTCAGCAAAAATCTTACAAAGTTGCAAGTAAGTTGAACAAATTCCATTTTTGTTACATTTGCAGAAAAATACGCATCAGTATAGCCAGAAATGAAAACTTTTTCTTTAAAACAAAATTATGGAAACAAATCAAGTTGCATATTTACAATGAGCATTACTGGTAAAAAATGTGACCTTTTAGCACCGACATCAGCTCAATTTTGTAGGTATAACACATACCCAAAAAAATGGCCCCTTGCTTCTCACAAGTACACAATTACTGTACAAGACCTTACCATTCGTCTTCACCCTGAAGAGAAAAATGGTTGAAGAGATAATGTACAAGTACAATGGTTAGGTTTCGCCTTTCCTTTTTTCACTCCATTCTTTTTCTTGGGAGTCACATAAGAAGACAGCTACAGTTACAGCATGGTAACCATAGAGGGCCAAAAATGATGCAATTACATATGGTTGACATAAAAAGCAAATTCTCAAGTAATAGGACCTTTTCTATCTCGAATAATCTCCTTGAAGGCCTTCCATTCTTCCTCCAAATCTTTGGTGCCTAAAGACTGAACCCTTGCATCTTGCGAGTAATGAATCTGAGAACAAGGTGGGATAGTTTCCCTATCCTGAGATTGATCAACTGAGGAAGTAGAGAGACCATTTAGAATTTAGTAATTTGACCAAATCAGATTAGTTATAATCTATAAGTTAGAATTATAGAAGCAATTAAATAGGAATTCCATTAACATCAGGTCGAAATTTGATATAGTACAAAATTTAATAGATAATGAAGGAAAACAAGAATATATGTACAAGGATGAAAATAGTCAAAGCTGAAATGTAAGGGAAATGAACATCAATTACAATAAACCAGGATTACAAATAACTTAAATGTATGCTATAAGAATCAAGACACAAAAAGATTAACATGCTCCCCTGGATAACTGCACAGACCTAGGATCTGAAAATTTGAGCTGGATCGGCTCTTTCTGTTAAACCAGGATTCATGACCTACCAATTCTTGTTGTAATGTGATCTGAAGCTTCTATATAAAGTCACCACACTAGCAAGTAATAAGCATATAATCTCTACAACATATATTATCTAGCTACCAGAAGTTTACTTTCATTGAAATTTTTAGGTGTCTTTGGAATAGGGTTTTAAATATGGGCTTACTATTTACAGTAACTCACAATTTCTGTTTATAGTAACATCATTATCTAATATTTTTAGTAATTTTTTGTCTTTACATTATGAATCAGTAACAAGTTATTAGAGTTGTTTTAGAAGTTGGATTATTTATTTGAGTTTCCTTATGAATGAGCTCTGGTTGTTGCCAGAAAATTTTTCCTTTTCCATGACTTCTTCATCTACGTGATCTATCTCTTTACTGTTTACCCTAACAGAAAGTTCTCTCTCTGCCTGATTTCTTGCCCATTGCTTAGGAGACAACAAGCTGTCTACTTGCTTTTCCATCCCTATTCTTTCATTCTTGACAGCCAAAGCCTCTCCGTAAGCCGACAAGGCCCACCACCACATCTGAAATTTGTAGGATGCCTACTCCATCATACATATATCAAAATCTCCTCCAATATGAGCATGCAGCAATTAATAATTAACAATAAAAACAATTGAATTAATACAAAACATTATCTTCTAGTATTCATCGACAAATAGGAGCTATTTTGATGAGCACAAGACTCAGTAACACAAATCTTTATAAAGGGACAATATTGAAAAGTAGTTTAGCTTTATTGTCAATAAAAAGAATGTTCTGAGAAAAAAAAAACGAGTTCCAGTTTGCAAAGTATTTAGTAAGCATGTGAGCTTTGCATACTAAGAATGCTTACCTTTCCTTGGCTTCGGAGGCCTAATGGAACCTCTTACTGCCCCTGTAGGGGAAAGAGGCCTCCTAACAGGTGCAGGTCTCACTGAAGTCTCAATCTTCTTGGAAGATATGAGAGCAGAAGATAGAAGAGCATCAACAGCATCCCGTTGTCTCTTCCTTTTTGCAATCATTTCTTTAGGTGCATCTGCTAGACTAGCTACTTGACCTCCATCATTTGACTCCCTGTCATGATGGCTGCCTTCTGTAGGAGCTGAAATTTCAGGTTTTGTTTGACCTATAGCATGTTGACCTGATGCCTGTGATCCCTTCAACACTGCCACCTTTAAGGTTCTATTAGTAGCATCTGTTTCTTGCATATGTACTGAATTAGTCTCATTTCTCAAATCACCATGTGTGGATGACTCCGTTCTGTGCAAATCACTATTTAAATCCATTTGTTTTTGGTTTCTCTCTTTGCATTTAGCCCGGCTATATTCTGCATGCTTTGTGGTGGATCTTACATCCTTCAAGATTCTCTTGTCCTTTGGAACAAAATTAGATAGCAGATCCTTATTTCCAGATATATTAGGATTTCCCACATCTCCAGCTATGCTTTCATGTCTTGAAACCTTGCTACTTATATTTTTCGGTTTCCTTTCATAGGCTTCCTTGTTATTGCACTTATCCTGTTCAGAAGATTGAAAGGTGTTTCTATCACTGCCCCCTTGTTTCAAATCTTTTGGATGACAATCAGAACTGGCTGGGATAGGTTTCTTCTTTGCAGCTGAAAAAGGCTTCTTAAACACAAACTCATAGGGCCTTTCTATAGATACAAGTAAGTTTCTTTCTTTAGCATTCTTGACTAGAGCAGCCCAGTTCCGATTTGTTTGAAGAGTGCGTGCATTGCCGAAAATCCACAGGGAGAATTTGGCCCTCGTCAAGGCAACATTCATCCGTCTTACATCAGCAATAAAGCCTATACTGCTTGAATTGATACCAGGTTCTTTACAACCATTTGAAGCTCTGACTGTAGAAAGTAACAGTATATCTACCTCACGGCCTTGAAAGCCATCCACAGTGTTGAATTCCATATCAGAAGTAATAGAAGGCCCAAATGCACTAGAAAATCGTGAACGCAAGACTGAAACTTGGCGCTTATATGGAGATATGATGCCTACCCTTCCACCAACAAATTCGGATGGGTTCCTTTCATAAAATTCAACATGTTATCTAAAAGCAAATTACTTGTGTTGGTCAATTAATTTATCAATTTAAAAATATTCAAAGGATATACCTCCTCTTGAAAAACTTCAGCAATTCAACAGCAGCATCAGCTTCACACTCATTATAAAGGGACAATGCACCAGTAGTCTTCCCATGTTGTTCTTGACCATCAATAATGTCATAGAATACATACGGTCCAAAGTATCCATTCTCATGAAATGGTGCTGATCTACTGTCCATCTGATCACCATTTAGCAACTTGTTGTCGTAAAAGTGCAAGGAAGGAAACTGGCTTATCTGTGGGTGCATCCTATACTGCCAAATAAATTAAAGGTTGTCAAAACACATGCATCTTAAATGTATAATATAGTGTATGATTTTCTCATCATGGAGAAAACAGCACACGCTTGTATTATTATCACCAAGACAATTAAGTGTAGAGAGAACTAGCTGAAGAAAGGTAGGATGGGGTTCAGGTGTATTAAGATAAAGAGAAAGGCTCTCTGCCTATGGAGTATATAGATTAGGGTGGGACTCAAGTCAAGTTTCTCAGGCTTGCAGGCTTTGTGTATGGAAAGGCATAACAAGGTTTTAACAAGTTTTCTATGGATTCACAACATTTCTGGGGTTGTACCAAAGTCTAGATTGGTATCTTGGCATAGTTGTCAAGGCAGGCAGCTAGGTGACAAGGCACCCTTGGAGGCTCACCTCGCCTAATCGCCAAGCAGTTTTGTACTTTCTATTATAGAATATTTTTATTCTTCATTTTTTGAGATTATAATTATAAAATAGACAGTATTAAACTAAAACATTCATTTTGTGTATTTATATAGTAATTTCTTTTTATTAATTTCTTATTTGTTATGGTTTAATCAACACAAACATTGCTAAATGCTGTATTATTTTCTTCTTTCTTTTTCTTCCATATCTTCTACTTTTTTCTTTTCTTCTTTTACTATAACAAAAAATAAGGGTCCAGCCCCTATATTTTTCAATTTTCTTTTGTTTCTTCTTTTTCTTCTCATGAATATAGTGATTTTCTATACTTTAGCATGAACTTTATACTTTTCATGGTAAGAAACAATGCTTTAAAATGCAGAGGCATGACACACGGCATTCCACTACCTAGAGGCGTAGTTCGGAACATAAGAGGCGTAAGTCCTGAGCACAAAGAGGTGTACGCTTACTTAAGAGGAGGGGGGATGAGGAGGAAGGAGGATCTTATTTTTCTTTATTTTTAATAAAAATCTTTTATATTAAGAAAAATGAAGATGCATGTCAGTAGTTAAAGGGGGGGGGAGGGGGGGGTCTTGTCAAAAAGAGGGCTGGGGGGCAAGCCCCTCGGTCGAAGGGGTCTGGGGGCTTAATTCCCAGCCCACATTCTTGCCCCTTATCTTTTCTTTCCTTCCCTTTCCTTTTCTTTCCCTTCCTTTCCTTTCCTTTTTTTTCCTTTTTTCTTTGTTTTTTCTATCTTTTTACATGGGGTGTGCATCAGGCACATGAGGTATGCCTCTAGCACGCCTCATGAAAAAAGCGTATGAGGCATATGCCTCAAAGGTGTCAATGCCTCTGGCATACGCCTCAGGGCATTTTGGGGGCACCTTGCCTAGTTGTGCCCCACACCTTTTAAAACACTGGTAAGAAAATATGGTTATGGTACCTAGGATCTATGTTTAATACTTAAAAAGTCCATCACCTAGGCAACTAGGCATCCCCTGTTGCCTAGCCTTGCCTTTGTGCCTTGAAAACTATGGATCTAGGAAAGGATAAATGGTGTGGAATGGGGATATTTCACAACCCTTCTGCCCATATTTATTTAGGCTCAGTTCTAGATACAATCCAGTAGCCCAAGCTTTGAAGTTGCGGTTGAGCAGGTTATGTTTTGTCCCATCTTACAAAGGCCTCTTCTATGTATTGGGATAGAAGAGTTCACCTCTCTATTGATCTGGCTGGAAGTATCATGCACACCCGCAAACTACCTGAATTCCTTGGCTTGCCCCGCCATAGTCAAAACAATATGACATGGGTAGCAATACAGTATCCATGTTGAACATTAAATAATATATGCCCAATTTTTTAAATCGCAAGAATTAGATATTGCATATACAAATTCTGGGTCTGGGAACAAACATGCTTGGAATTGGAAGCATCAATATTTTTTCTCTAATCTTTCAAACCTTTTTATAATTTACTTGAGAAAGCATGAAGTTGGTGATGCAATTAGGAACAAACTCATTACCATGCATGTTGCAGTACAGTAGCAGGTCACATTAATCTGTTCAGGTATAAAATTAAAGGTAACCTGATAAGGAAATACCTAAAAGATGTTAGTCAATTGTTTTCTTAATCCAAAGACTTCAGAGAATTATTTTGTAATAATATTTCAACAAAATGAAGATTGGTTTTCTGGTCCTCCCCATCTGAAGATGTGCAAGAGAGGTAGCTCCTCCCAAAAGAAAGTTATTTATACATAAATTTTTCAATAGGAAAATCTGACCCCGTCAGACGTCATGCGGCATTTTTAGGAATAACAGAAACAGATTCTGAGATTCTGAGACCCCTTCAGTCAGCCTAGTTAGGCAGAAACTTTGCAACTCTCTAAGATCTAAATTATTCCTGAACTTGAATTAATAGCTTCAGTGGATGAAGGCCATTCAAACATAAAAGTAATTGAGTTAATGAACATGTTGGTACCTAATTAAAAAGGGGAGACAAATTGGAGGCCATTCTCATTCTCATTAAACAAATAAATCTCTGTTGAAATATGACTATCTTGTACTCTATTATCTTGAGACAAGTTGATGAGACAGCTTTTCTAGCACAAAAAGAAATTAAGGAAGAGATCTTTTTCTGTTGAGTATCTGCCATTTTAGCTTGTTTTCCTTCACTTCTCTTGTTTCATCCTTTGCATCCTTATGATCTACACTTCAATAATTTTTGAATTTGTATAGGTCTTCTAAAAGGAAATTGGTGAAAGCTTCTACCACTTATTAATCTCTTGCCCTTTTGTGTCTGATATTTGGGTTTGGTTTCTCTCCTTGTTTGGTTGCAGATGGATTCCTCCACCAAGCATACACGACTTGTTTGCTTCCTCTTTCTTCAGGTAGCCAAAGAAGAGGGGCAAAGCTCTTTGTAGATGTGGTAGGGCTGCCATTTGTTGGCAGTGTGGGAAGAAAGGAACACTTGTATCTTCTCTGAAAAGTAAAGGAGTAAAGAAGCCATCATTGAAGCAGTGAACTTTAGAGTGGTCCACTAGGCAAAATCTCTGGGGGTGTTTGATGATATACATACAGATCTGATGCTCACTAATTGGAAAGAAGTTGCACTTTCAGCACCAGTCAGGATGAGTGTCAGTCCTATTTGGTATGCTCCTGCTCAAGGGTACATAAAACTGAACTTTTATGGTAGTGGTGAGGGCAATCTGGGGCCCTTCAGGTGTAGGAGGAACCTTTAGAGATAGAGGGGAAAGTAATCACAATGTACTCTGGTCCTATTGAATATTCAAAAGCTAATAGTAGAATGAGATTCTAAACTGGTGATAGGTTGACTGCAAAAGGAGAATTGTAAACTCTGGAAATTTGCCAATGAAAAAAGAGAGTTTGACTGGGTTGCTCGAGGAATAGAGATTCAGTTTCATTGGGTGAAGAGATCTGCAAATTCCTTTGCTGATATTCTGGATAAACAAGGGATGGGAAGGGAACATTTATTTTGGGCAGTGCTGTAACGCTTTTTTTCAGCTTTCTTCGGGAGGGTTAAGAGTTTTTATCTCTCCCCTTTGTTTCCTTTATATTCTATATTTCTCTCTTTAATAAAACTCTGTTATTGATCAAAAAAAAAATTAACTCCAAACCCTAAAAAAGTTCACCCCTTACATCTGTGGCTCAGAATTTGACCCTACATGCACCTCCCATTTCCCAAGACTCCCCATCAGAACTTTCCTCGCTCATAGGATATTTCATTTCTCTCACAAACTCTTCCCCTCCTAAGTCCAACACGAATCCAGCAACTTTCCAAACAAGAAAAAGAAAAGAATAGAAAAGAAAAGAAAACCAAAACATAAGCCCCTGGAGTTTCAAATAATATTCTCTGAAATCATTACCTGTTCAGTCAGCATAATTACAGGGTGGCCAGCCCTTTGCAGACGCTCAAACATACTGCACTCGTAGAGAAATTTGCTAGCCAAGTTTGAAAGAACAGTTGCAGGAAGTTGTTTTGGATCACCAACCTTCAAGAAGATAAATCTTAGAGTGAGCTTAAGCTTAGCATCAGATCAGATAACTAATCAGTAAATCATGGCAATATTTCTTTTATTTTCTAGTTTTGACAACATAGTGATATTGTTGCAGAGAGATTGAATAACTGGCTCATCTAGCTTACAAGTGAAAGTAGTGTAGTAGCTAAGAGTCTTGTCATTGGAGAAAGCATTGGAATAATGCCACCAGTAAAAGTGAAGGTAGAAGATATGGAGAGGAAAGCTAGGCCTGCAGCTATTGTCCAAGGTGAGTCAATTGGCAAATCTAATACAGTATGAAAGATAGGGCAGCAAGGTAGGGGAAACCACATAGAAGGGTAGTCTTAAGGAGTAGGTGGAGAATTGGAGCAATGGATCAGATATGATGGTTTCAGGCTTGGATCTGAGGAGCCAGAAATCATTGATAGGAAGCAGGTCAGAATATAGTGAATATGAAGAACATGGAGGGAATGATGGATTTGAGCCAGAAGCTTGGACTCTTCTTCCTAGGATGCAATGAAAAGGGCAATGTTGGGAAAAAGTCATTAAAGATAAAAAAATAAGCCAAGGTGAGGTATGTTGTTACAAAGGAAGAGGAAGGCAGTAACGTCTCAATTAAGGGAAGTTCTGGGGGTAGCTGGAAAATAAGTGTTTCCAAAGAGAAAAAGAGGTAGGATTGGGAGATCCAAAATGGAGAGAAGAGGGTTAAGGGTAATGGAGACTCCCATGACTTAGTAGCTTAATTTTTATTTTTATTTGATTATTTATTTTGAAAATGTATGGTAATATATTGTATTAAACCAAATCAGTCAAAATATACAATCAGCCCATGTACATTGAGATACTGTATGGCAAACAAAGCAAAAATGTATGACCAAGTAAAAAAGATATCCAGCATCAAAAAATAAAATAAAAACATAAAAAAGAACCACGCTGGATTACCTAAAAGGGTTACTTACCCACGAACATAATAGCCCTTTAAAATTGCTTCTTATTACACCCATATGTGCGTTTGTTCTCAAAAATGTGCTTATTCCTTTCCCGCCCCTTTTTCCAAATAACAGCAGCAGATAAAACACCCCATAAGACTCCCTCTTCCGCTTAATCCCTGTAAGTGGTAAGAGAAACTACAATGTATAAAGAGGTTACCTGACAATTCTGAGCATTCATTGCATAACAAAGCCACCTTAGTTGGGATGCAGGGATGTCCATACGAAGAAAGCCACCTTAGATGGGATGCAGGGATTTCATATTTTATACCAAGGAAAATGATTTGGCAATTACGAACCGGGCCTATTAAAAAAAAGATTGAACAGTGAATTGACCTTCTTTCTCCCACTTCCATACCCCTATCATCAGCTTCCATAAGATTTGGGTTGATGTTTTGCAAGAGGTTTAACAATCAGGCCATTAAATCCATTTCCCAATCATTTAAGTTCCTTATAAATGCTGGGCTCCAAATCACCACATCATTCGTATACTCAAATCAATTTCCACTTCAGCATTTCTGCTTTGAACTCTTTCAAATATGGAAGTTCTTTTAGAGTACACTCTCCAACCATCTGTCATTCCAGAATTTCACCCTTCTGTCATCTCCAATTTTATATTTGAATTCTGTTAAGAATTCAGGAAGTATTTCAGACTACCACCCCATTGGAGTAAGAGAAGGACCTCTATTCCATCCATGATACTGAAGTCATATTTGCTTACAATTATTATTGTCCATAGGTCCCCTTAATCTTGACAACCATTTCCCAAGAAGTACTTAGTTTGTCTGCCATATTCTTCAAACTCCTAGCCCTCCAAACTTTCTTGCCAAGCAAACTTTGTTCCAATTGACCAAACAAAATTTTTTGATCTTTCCTTCCAACCAGCCCACAATAATTCCTTCCTTTTCTTCTCTGATTGCTTTACAACTAAGGAGAAATTTTGGAATGGGGACAATTAGTAGATTCAGAGGGAAGAGAGAACACTTTTTAAAAATATAACTTTGCCCCACTTTTGAGAGATATTTTGATTTCCACATGGCTAGTTTTATACAAACCTTTCTTTTTTTAAAATGGTAAAGTAATTTTGAGAGATACACCTAGAGGGGGGGCGAGGGGCAAAGGCCACCCCTACCCAGGAAAACAATTCACATTTCCCACAAACTCACCGAGCTCAAAATCAGGAATAAATGCTGAAACCCAGGACCCTAATCTATCAACAGTGAGTATTAAACAGCATATTGTTCCTTTCAGCCTAGACATTTCCAAACACCATGGCAGGGATTGGCTTCCAGATGCATTTGCCTTTCTAAGAGAGTCCGGCAAGCACCAGCTTCTTAGCACATTCTTCACCAAGCGTGACTTCCCCAAGGTGGGAGTCCCCACCTTACCCCTTATAAATACCAAGTGTGACTTCCCCACAAGTATTACAAATTGCCCTAACCCATATGTCCTTCTGTTAATATATTCACATTACATATCGAAGTTAAAAATTATGTGGACATAAAGAAGAACGCATTTAAACTATCCAATCATTACTTGAGGTAAAAAAAATAAAAATAGGAAAGAAGGCAATACATATGCAAAGACCATAGATAAACCATGCAAATAGAAGAGATTTTCCTCACCATGATACATTTGGTTCCCTTTGATTTTAGAAGCTGAAGAGGAATAAGAGTAGCAGGTTCCAGAGCCTAAAATGGTAAGATAAAAAGAAAAGGAATAGAGCTAGTTAAGTGCTAGTACTTTGACAGCTACAGAATAAAAAATGAGAATGGGGATAAATAATATACTTGAGCTGCTTCATCAATCACAACAGCATCGAATAGGGTATGTTCAGATGAACTCCCAGTTCTACAACCTGAAACAGATTCAGAGCAAACCGCATATAGATCTCCACCACAGCCACTCAGTGTAGTCACAACAATTTCAGCTTCCCTTAGGATAGACTTTCGTAGTTTATGTTTAAGGGCTTTGCTTTCTTCAGTGACTTTCTTTTCCCGTGCCTGAGCAGCAGCTAGCTCTATACAAATTTCTCTCTTTCGTTCATAGAGATTTTTGAGTTTAATCCCTATTGCTGTATCAGACATTTCCTGCTTGCCCTCCTCTGTAGGTGCCCCATCTTCCAAAATCTTTGGATCCAAATTTCCATCCCTTAAGTTAGAACGCTTAGCTTCATAGAATCTAATTCGTTCTACCAACTTTTCCAAATTAGAACGGAGTGCTATTGAAGAGTCCCCGCTCAAATCATTATTTGCATCATTTCCACTTGTCTCTTCGGCTAAACGTTGATCAACCAGAGTATCAATAAAGAAGGGTAAGGAACTCGGATGAACAGTTTTTGCATTTCCAACTCTTACAAGATAAGGCTTGTACATCTTCCCATCACTTCCATAAAGGCCTTGATTAGATATTCTTGATACAAGCTCGTCCACCGCAGCATTTGATTGAGCACAGATAAGAACCCTTGCCCTCATTGAACTTTCAGTTGATTTAGAAATCTGTGCACTTTGCTCATTCAGTTGTCTAGCAAAGGCTGCATCCTGCCATGCCCTTGCGATTGCCGCAGACTGACTGATACATACTCTTGGAGTTGTGCATGAATTACTGCTTTGTCTCATACTGCTATTTAGTAGTTTCCCTACATCTTTGTTCCGTTGTAATGGTAGAGAAAGCAATACACTGACAATAGCAAGAATTGTTCGGGTTTTTCCAGTACCTACAAAGAGAAAATTCAAGAAATTAATCACAATCTGCTACTAAAAAGCTTGTTAATTAAACTAAAGAAAGCAAATGCATCACATACCTGGAGGACCTTGTATAAGAGATAATTCAAAATCTATTTTTGAATCATTAGTTCCAATGGCAACACTGATAGCTTGGAGCTGACTGTCATTGAACGAGTTCTTAAGTATTAGCTGCAAGGGCTTTGCTAGCTTAGCCAATTCAGCTTTTCTAGATTCATTACAATCACGGGAACTAATGGTTGGTTTCAAGATAATTGGAAGTACAGGAATATCACTTAGTGATGACAGCGCCTGGAATTCTCGAAGTTGAGGTGTAATGTTCATAACGCGACTTATATACCATTTGCTCCTCTCAGTAAGGAGCTTATTAGCTTTATTTAAGCGGGAAGATGATTTCTGAAGATATAATCTAATTACTAGGATATTTGACCTCCTTTTGTTGTCCTTCTCACGCCTCTCCACCTGAGAAAGAACAACTAGTTGAATCAACAAAAGATATATCAAAAGAATGATGGTTTGGAATATGAAATATTTAGTCATAAGATACTAACCCAACCCTAATAGTCTGATCTGAAAAACAATAACCCAACCCTAATAAATTGTAAAAGAATGTTCACTTAATCCAGGTGAGAGTCAAACCACATAATATTTTGTAATTAAGTATTTGCTCATAAGATAACTAAACTTGTAAATGTCAATTTGGTACCATCTAATTGATCTAATTGAATGTCCACCATTTGGAACAACCACAATCAAAGGTCATATGGGTGATACAGTTAAAAGTTCAACAACTTGAGCATGAACCATCAATTAATTACAAGCAACGGGAAGGAAAAAGTAGATTATGGATAGGATGTTATGGTCTTTTCATAGGTTATATGTTGATGTCTGGGGTTCATACATACAAGTAGTATTGTATTAAGCAAAAGGTCCTGGCATTGGCCATCTCTACATCAAATGGCAACTAGAAGAATAAACCAGATACAAAGTGCATGTGGCATATACATGATTCATCCTTAGAAGTTATGAATGTAAAGTACCTTTCCAACCATGTGAACATCATGAGCAGAATTTTGCAGGGGTTGTTTAGTAAGCAAAACCAGGTCATTTTCTGAACATCCTTTTGATGATGCAAATTCACCATCAGGAACACAGCGAATGAGATGAAAGTCATCAATCCTTTCAACTGAAAGCACAGACAGACTGCCACAGCACATATCTTCTGATGAGGAAGCCTCTACAAAGGAACTATGCAGTTGAGCTTTAAACTCTTCCAAAACCAAAGGGCGAAAAATTTCCACATATTCTTCAGGTGATTTGAAGCACACAGGCACCTCCTTCAATTTGGTCATACGTGGATTCTCAGCCTCATTTCTGGATGATAATCCAACAGTGGAAAAGTAATCAATTTCTAAAATGGGTCTATACCAGTCATCAAGCCTTCGAGGCTTCAACCTCTTAACTCTAGCATCCAGCCTATGATGAAAAGTAGATCTGTTTTCTTCAGGGAGCTGAATGACTTTTCTTCTAGTAACAGAGGTGATTGGCTTTGTTAACAATGACTTTGGACGACTAGCTGATTCAAGTGCAACATCCAGTGGGTCATCTTCAAGGTCACATATTAACTCTTTTATGGCAGTATCTCTTGTTTCTGAATCCATGGTTGGAGCAGAAGTTTCTTTAGAACAAGCCTGATCAGAACCTTCAACAGACTGAACCCTGGGAGCAGAAACTTCCTTTTCAGACAATAAAGAATTACTTGGAGCACATGTATAGTTTGTTTCATTTCTTTTATCATCTATTGCTTTTGATTGAATAGGAGAAAGAATGGACCCAACTCCAGATGCATTACAGTTCTGCTTCTGAGAAGCAGCTATAGCACTTCCAGCTGCATCTTTGATTAGAAGATTCTTTGTTAAGTTCTCTAAGATGTCAGTTTTGGAAACAGACCTCATGCCAGAGCCATCTTTCAATGTTCTTTTATCACCGCTTGGATCCATAGTCTTGTTATTAAGCATAAAATGGTTTGATCCACCATGAGAAAAGGTAACTAAAGCAGGGGCACTCTCCTCACCTTCATCATCAGAAAGGATGATTAGCTTATTTTCACCCTTACTTTCTGTATGCCCCACAGATTCTAGTACCTGCACATCATCATCCTCCAGGTGAGAAGGCTTTGTACCTAAAGTTGCATACTTCTCAAAATGCAAATCTTCAAAAAATGAGGGCTCTTGCTTCAGGGATATCTTTCCAACAGTACAAGCAATTTCACGTGATAACGAGACAGAGAGGCGTGATACTTGATCCTTCAACTCACCAATAGCAACACTATCTGAAATGAGAAAGTGCCAAAATTATTAGAGAAAAATAGGAAAAAGGGAAAGAAAGCAATGACAAAAAGATGCAATTAACAAGATAGGATCACAACCATAGTCAAAAAGAAAGATACAATTGAAGTCTCACCACATGAAATAAGCTTTTCAATTGCCCTGATAGTCCATGCAGAATTATCATGGCAAAAACCTTTGAGTATGTCCAGCAATAAAATCACTGTCTGTTTCCAATACCTTGTGATAACTACAAGGGATGACCTTCCCCACTCTACCAAATCATGAAGCCAACTGAAGTCAAAAACTTGCCCTGTCACAATGTCAGAACTCCCAGATAGCTTAGGGGAAGAAGAGATAAGCCGTTGACAAACAACAGGGAGGATTTCAAGCAGACGAACACAAGTCATCTGAAACAATAAACCAAACCATAAACAAACTACCAAGTAAAGATAAGAAATGCCTTTCTGAAACATGGCAAAACAAAAGTAAAATAGAAAAATAAAAAATTGACAGAGATAGGGTCCACCGTCCACCTTCCTAAATAAACAAACAGAAATGCTCATCAATCAAATAGCACAATAACTAACCAATCAGGATATTCAAATTGCTTTTTTTATTAGCAACAGAAATTTTCATTGACTAAAAACATGAGAGACTACAACAGGGATGGGAAGTTCCCCAGACACCCATCTTAGTTTTATAGTTCCGTCCCAATTACAATTCAGCCCAAAACAGTTGTTCCCTGTGAAGATAATGGCCATAGATATAGTTTGAGCATCTATAACTAGTATATGTTTTGTTCTACCTAATCAAAATACATTGACATACTTTATCAAAGATCAAAGCTAAGATTTCGAAAACATAGAAAGAGATAGTGCACCACCAAAAGTTCTGATCTAGAAGATTATAGGCCAAGTGTTTAGCATTGAACCAAGAAGCAATCATCCAGTTTAATAAATTTACAAGTGTTACCAACACTTTGCTGGCAAGAAAATAGATATTCTAGAAGGCAAGTTGGTGACTGAAGGACATTGTAATTCACAAGGAGAGTAAATTATGGGATTTTTTGTTTTCTTGGTTGGTGGATGTGTTGTGTTGAAGTTTTTCAAACTATATTATGTATGACGAAAGGGGTAATTAGGGAAGAAAAATTATATGTACTATCTGCCCCACTGGGAACTGCTCTGCAATTTGTATATTTCTAGTGTATATATGCAGCATCACTCTCATTTGAGAGAGAGGTTTGGTCTGGTTTGTTGCCCTAAATCTTTCTCTTATAGTGTCCATCTTTCTCTTTGTTTATTCTCTTTTCTCAGACCACTCACAACAACAAGGTATCAATCAGCTAGGCTCTGATGAACATTGGAAGGGCTAGTGTTCCTTCCGTCAATGGATTCTCTGCTGCCAATCCCTGGAAAGGTATAATTCAATTCCTTTCCCTTTTCTTCCCTCAAATTAGCTTCAGTTTGGTCCATTACCCCCAATGCCTGGTTTTCCTCCAAATCCTTCTGTTACAGCTTAGTTTCTGCACCTTCTCCCTCTTCTTCCCCAGCTAGAAGGATATGGTCTTCTACAGCTCCCCTACAGTCTCCTTCCTCTGGGAGGCAGCTTGTGGTAGGCTAAATACCATGGATATGAAGATCAGGAGAGGTTGGGGGAAGAAAAGGAATTTCATAGGAAAGGGATGAGAGGATATTAGTTAAAGAGGGACGCATGGCGAGAGAATTTAAGAAGCGAACATGTTTGAAGAGGTTAATGGAACATTTTAAAGAATGGAAGGGGAGCGGTTAATAAGTGGGATCCACTTTTTTATAAGGAGAGGTGTTGTTCCTTTGGGAGACTTCCAAGCAACTGTGAGAAGCCCTTGGTGTTTTAAAGGCAAGGGCTTAGGTTGAAACATTTAAAGAGGTGAGAAGCCCTCAATAAAGTTACAAGTGTGATTGGAGTTCAATGGTGAAAATAAAAAGAGTAGGCATTGGGCAATTTCCAGACTTGTGCGATCTTCTATTTGACAGGCAAGCTCAACTACTGGTTCTTTTGGAGGCTGCAGGTTCTAGCAATTCCACAAATGTTTATTATGCTGCGAATCATGTGGCTAATTTGAGACAGGAGCTTCTTCATGGTAACCTTGTTGACTTGAGGTCCATTGTTCATTCTCTTGAATCAGCCAAAGGTACAGAAGGGTTCATGCTCTATTTCTTCTCCCACGTTGAACCAGGAGAATAAGACTTAGTCAATGACTAAATGATTTAAATGAAGGCTTTATAAAGGTGGGAGATGGGATGTCAGTGATCAGTGAGCTCAAGAATAGGAAGGAGGGAAGTGATAAGGGGAGGCAAGGGTAAGGAGGTGAGTATTGTCGAGAATTTGAATCAAGATGTTTTGTTAGGGGGAGATTTCGACTATTTAGTCTCTAAAGTGGTTGTTGGAAGGTAGGGAATTGATTTGGATCACAGGGGGAAGGAGAATCTTTTGGTTGGGAGTGTCAATGCTTTGGAGGCTACAAAGAAATCTCAGAGTTTCAAGCAAGTTTAATGTTATTCATGTCACTAAGGTCTTTCCAAGGCTGAAAGATAACCTGGTGGACACAGGGCTAACCATCAAGTATAAAATGATTTATCAAAGAAGAGGAGTTAAACTCAGATCTCTTTGTCTCAAGAACCTTCATGTGAAAAATCAAAGACAAGGAGATGGGAAGAAGAATCTACCAATGGATCCTCACGAAGAAGGGTCGAAAAAGAATGACATGGTAGAGGAGAAGACTAGTAGGAATGGAAGTGAAATTAAAGAGGTCTCTACTAAGGCACTACCAGAGGGGAATGAGAAGAAGGGAAGCTTGGATTTGAAGAAAGTTGTCAATAATGAGGTTGAAATTGGCAAGTCTTCAGGCATGTTTTTCTTGGGAGGTGAGAGCTTTGCTAGGAAAGCATTTGAAGCATTTAAGAGGAAGAGAGGAAAGAATAAACTATGAGGAAAGCTCCTCAAGCAAATAGGGGGAGAAATTTGGGATGAGAAAGGAGGTTTGGAAGAGTTTGGTGAAGTGGACGATTGAATTGAGTTTTGTAGGAGCTTTGTGATGCAGTCGTTGGTGATGTGGTCGGTAGGTTTTTTTTCTTTGTTGAGTTTGTGGGGTCTTACCTTAACACCTTCCAATAGGTTTTTACTTTTCAAAAAAAATGGATGACATGCAAAAGAAAAAACTTAGACAAACAACAGCAGATGTCCTAACCACCAATACTCTTCCCACTCAATGCTAAACAGGAATCTATCCAACTTCGAACAAGTTGGGAAAGCATGTAAATTGGACCAAGTGAACAATTTTTGGTGAACAGGATCTCTTTAAGCTCACAAGAGTACAAATTCATTGAACTTCCTCATGCTAGGCAGGAGAGAAACCCTTCTCCATTTGAAAACCACCAAAGCTTCACTGTACCTGTAAGTATTTTTTATGTTATTTTTTTCAATTTCTGTTACTGTTTTTTGGTAGAATCCTCTCATACAAATATTTTTGCCCTTCATCTTTAGACACAAAACAGGAGTATTTTCTTCCTCATTTTCTTAAGACAAAAAATGGGCTCCAATCTCTTTTTTTTTTCTTTTTCTGATACAAAACAGGACTACTCCCCATTTTTCCAATTTTTATTTGACACAAAAAAGGGGCTCTACCCTATTTTTTCACCTAGGGAGCTCTCTCTCCACATCTTATACTGAACAGGGTCTCTCCTCATCTTCTCCCATTTTTTTAACACATAACAGGGACTCTGCCCTATTGTTTTTCATCTCTTTTGTATGCAAAATAGGATCTCTACTCCATTGTTTTCTAAGTCCTTTTTTACATGAAAACAGGTTCTCCACTTTACTCTTTCGTAGGGTATTTGTGTTTGAATTCTGAAACTCTGAAGATTTCTTTGTTAGCTACGGTGTGGCTGTGTGTAAGTCTTTATTTATGTTAGTTTGATCGACATGGTTTGGCTCATAATTTTTTAACTCCTATAAGTCTTTATAAATGTGTTATTTTGTTTAATTATCATGTCCTTGAAATTGGATGTGTGTTAGGCTTAAACTATGCAATTACATCTCTCTCTTATTTTAGAATTTTTCATGAATTGCATGTTTGACTTAAATTATTAATTAGAGATTAGATAACATTATGATTCTTTTACCTTAAAATTTGGAGATAGATCACAGGATAACTAGATATTCAATAGTAGATTTTTTTGAGAAGAGGTAAAGCATGAACTTCATTAAGAAACCCTCTTTTTAGGAGTAAAGAAGAAAATTTTATTAACTTAAAAGAAAAATACAGCTATAGAAGGTGTCAAGATGACACCCAAACAACTGAAACTATGACAACATGTTTACATTGCAAGCTGGAATCTCAAGAACACCCCAGAAATTTTTCTTCTAGGTCTACACTATTAAATCACTCAAATTCTAGAAGAATCGAGACCCAGCTTGAAATAAGCTTTCCTACTGAGGCCACCACAGCTTCAATGCTTTTGGACTTGTCTTCGAACGGTCGTTTGTTTCTTCCCTTCCATAAAGTCTAACATACTGCAAAAGGGATGCAGCTCTTCAAAATTTCTCATCCCAGTGTATTAAAAGCACAAGCCACAAAAAAAATGTTCATTCATCCATCCTAATAAAATATCTTCTCAAAAAGCAATTATAATTATAAAATCATTCTTTTTTGTGTGAGAACTAAGAATTTAAGACCCTAACATGGACTTGTTTGGGCTTGCCTCGAGGGGTGTGGCATTGGGATCCGAAGGCAGATCCCCTAGCCCAGCCACTAGGTTCAAAAAAAGCAAAAAAAAAAAAAAAAGCATCAAATTTTCAAAAGGCAGATGCCTAGGCTAAGGCACAAGGCATGCGCCTAGGACCTAGGTGAGGTGCAGACCCTAAAATGTGCCTCGCTTATGTGCCTAGGCATGCCTTTTAAATCACTGATCATCCCTAAGTTCACCCTTTCTCCCCTTCCCCCTTTCATCTCACATCTTCTCTTGACAACATTTAAGTCTCCTCCCAAACACCAAGGGCCCCCCCACCTTTGTCTAATTCCTCACAACTCTTCCCATAAACCCACCCTCTTCCCTTCTTCATTGGGTCCATACACATTGGACACTACCCAACTCCACTCCCCAGAAGCTTCTTGCAGCCATACAGACACCAAGAAAACCCCAACCCATTCTCCTAACTTCCTGTAAGCCCTAGGATCCCAGGATCCCATAAAACAAACAAACCCTCAGCCTGCCCTGCCGCATTTAACACCACCCACTCTCCGTTACCACTTTCTCAAATTTCATCTTTTATTTTGAAGTCAAAATCTTCTATTTAAGACTTGTATTAAAACCACTTCCGGCTCATGGGTTCTGATCAAATTTCTGAATAGTTCTCTCCTTCTTTG